TGTGTATTGCAAGGTTCTGAAATCATCAAAATGATAAGAAATTTGGCCAAGTCTTGGTAAAGTTACAAACACTTGCACAGAGAGATGTATATGGGACTACACGAACACGTTGCGTAAAAAGCCGGCCCCCCGATTTTTACGATGTTACATGCATATTTAGAATATGAAGGCATTTGAAGAGCCATGCTTTCCAGGGAACATGTCTTAACTGATGTTCTTCCACACTTGCATAATAAGAATGAGTAATGCTCACAAATTATTTTTCACCTCTTCCCAGAACTCAACCTTCTCTTTAAATACAATCTAGTAGATAGATTTTCTCGCCACGCAGTTTCATAACAAAGAAAAAATGATTGTATTAGGTTAGATAGGGTGTATATGTAATCACAATATACATGCAAGTCACGTACCTTTCCATTTTCTTTACTAAAATTTATTCTATTCTGTATTGGTCTGATTTTTGTTTACTATACTTTTTATTTTTAACCAAGTGATTTAAGTGGCAGGCAATATTTCTTTAGAATCAATTTTACTTAAATTATATTAGATATACAATATCATCGAAATACCCTGAATTCTTGGCATTAATTACCTACCAGCAAAATTGAATGCAAAAACAGGTGATCAAAAGTTAAGTTTCGTAACAACAATGAATAACAAAGGAATATCAAACCACTCACAGGAATAATAATTTTTCCTTATGTCATAAGCGAAAGTGATTGGTTTCATGGTCGTAATATGAATAAGCTCTGAACCCCTCCCCCCCTCCTCGCTTAAAGGCAAGAGACCACAAATATAAGTCTCGAATAAAGTGGCAGTCTCGTGGGTTTTTTTTTCTCGGGGGGGGGGGGCTATACCTATATATGTATATCTATCATTTTGACTTTCTTTACTTTCTTGTTTCTTCTGCCCCCCCCCCCCCCGAGCGTATCGCATTTCCCCTCTCATGTTCCATATTTCTTTTTTTTACCCGTATCCGGACACTCTAGACATCCACCCCCCGGATAACCACCCCCAGTCAACTACCCCCTAGGACAACTACCCCCTAGGACAACTACTCCCTAGGGCAACCACCCACCCCCAGTCAACTACCCCCTAGGACAACTACCCCCTAGGACAACTACTCCCTAGGGCAACCACCCTCAAGGATGACTACCCCCCCCAGGACAAATACCCCGGACAACTACCCCCAGGACAACTACCCCTAGGACAACTACTCCCCGGACAACTACCCCGGACAACTACCCCCTAGGGCACCTACCCCCTAGGACAACTGCCCCCTAGGATAGTTGTCCCGGGGGTACTTGTCCTAGAGGATGATTGTCGTAGGGGGTAGTTGTCTGGGAGGTAGTTGTCCGGGGTAGTTGTCCTGGGGGTAGTCATCCTAGAGAGGGGTTGCCCTAGGGAGTAGTTGTCCCAGGGGTAGTTGTTCTAGGGGGTAGTTGTCTTGGGGTAGTTGTCCGGGGGTAGTTGTCCTTGGGGGTAGTCGTCCTAGAGGGTATGTGCCCTAGGGGGTAGTTGACTGGGGTGGTTATCCGGGGTGGATGTCCAGGGGGTAGAGGTCCTATGTTCATTTTCTCTTTTCTATGCGATCTGATGTATTTAAAGGGATCGTTTAACATTGTTAAATCTGAGATACACGGCCCTACATGTTATTAGTGTCTGTGATATGGTGTAATATTGAAGCCCTACAAAAATCGCGCTTCAAAATGATCAAGAAGTGCCTCCAAAAAGTAAAAATCCTTGAGTGACCGGTTTTACCATACTCGTTTTCCCCAATAGACTGTAGTGTTATGAAAACCGTCAGGCGAACGGTTTTCAAAATTTGTAATTCCAATCATAAATATCTTGATAATTAGACAGGCGATCGGCTGGTAAAAGTCATGGGGTTCCTGACTGACCTACAGGTTTATAAATATCATTGCATCATGAGCTAAATCCAGAATTTTGTTTCAGAATCTGAGACAAAGTTACCGGATCCCTTTAATTCCTTTGCTTTCTTGTAGTTTTCTTGGTTTGTCTTTTGGGAAATTCCCAGGTTTCATAATCACAAATGTTCTGTGTCGTAATACTACCAGCAATGTTATTTATGGGTAAACTTTTTTTCCCTCCTGTACAAGAAAAAGAGAAAAAGAGAAAAGAGAGAGAGAGAGAGAAGGGGAGAAGGGGAAAGAATGAGAGATAGAGGTTAGAGAGAGAGAGAGAGAGAGAGAGAGAGATGAGAGAGAGCGAGAGAGCGATGTAAAGAGAGGGAATAGGGCGGTCGTTACGTAACTAATTGCAGGTTAGTCTAACGAAAGACTCTGTTTAGATTTTTTTTTAAATTTCGATATGACTGGCATACTAAAAGCAAAACCAACGATATACAGCTTGAGCAAAGCACAGTATTGATGCCTAGGTCACAGTTGCTCTACGGCTAGGATACGACGGCCGTATTCCCCCGAAATTGAGATATACTTGCGGCGGCCGCAGAGAATCTGCAGTGGCCTCAGGGTCACCCTAGAGCGTATCCCTATCTTTACAGGCCATACGGGTCGCCGTGGGATTATAACGCGGAGTTATAACTTTTTTCATTTCTAGGTTCGTCGCAGCAATTAGACACGTCGCGCGCCGTAGCCATGCCGTAGAGCATTCCCACTGCGACCATACGTCGGTCGTACGATGGCCTTGCGTTTGCAATGCAGCTGCCCTAGGGTCTTGTGAATTACAATTGACTTCTATCGGAACCCCCCTAAAAACAACAACAACAACAACGACAACAACACCAACTCTATGGCGGCCGCAGGAATTCCACGGTCGCCATAGGGCAGCCTTAAGGCGACCGTGCGTCTTCACTTCAAAGGCCTTACGGCAGTCGTGCGTTTTTTTCTTCCAAACATTCAAAATACGACGTGCGGCTACTTTAACAACATGTGACCGCTACCGTATGTGACCGTGGGAATGCTACGGCGCCCCTATAATTGCTATTGGCAGTAGATAGTTTAGACCGCACGGCCGTCGCCGCAAATGTGACCTAGGCATTACCCAGTAAATATGGGAAAAACATCTACGCGTGGTTCTTTTCTATGCCCGCAACTTCGTAGCGTCGTATACCTTTCCAATCATAGTTTTCTATGATACTCTTCTTCACTAACATTTACCAAAAATAAAAAGAGCTCACTTACAACTGTTTGCCTTTCACAGAAATCAACATTCTCTGTAAGGGCTTCTTCATGATTTCAAATCAATTCGAAATTGCGACGATCCGACTTGATCTAGGTCGAGTTACAGCAGGTTATAAAACTATGATGTAACTGTTCATTTTTCGAGAGTTGAAGGCTTATCATATATTTAACGTACCCGCATATCTGAAATCAATTCATCGCCTTTAGTCATTTTTAAAGAAATTATTACGATGTCTTCCATGAAATAAATGTTTGCAGCAGCGCAATCAAGGAGGTTCATGTGACGTTCAATGCTAACTATTGTCTATCTCTGTGTATGCTATGATTTAATCCAACGCAATTAAAAGAAACAAACACACACACACGCACGCAAACACACACAAAATTCAAACTGGCAGACGAAATATCATTATCACTTTTGAAGTAATATGACCTAAATCATCCGCTGATGCTAAAACCAGGGAAATGTAAAATAAACTAACATCATCACATGGGGCCAGTATAATTTAGATCGGATTTTAGGGGCGTTTTAATCATTTAAAAAAGAATGGGCCCGGTACGTGCTCGCCCCCACCCTAATCAATAAATACGTTGATTTGAAGGATTAAAACCAGAATTTAATCATTTCAGGAGTCGGCAGGACCAGATCCCGGATTCATGTTTGTGTTGTATTTCGTTTATTTATTGTCTATTGTAATGAAAGTGGATATGTCTTCGGACTGTCTTCGAGTCTCGCCGCGGCACAAATATACATTGGCAAGACATCAATCTATATATGACACTCTCCACCCAGGTGATAAAAGGGTACCGCCGTACCGGTAGGAAGAAATTCTGTGAATGCTGTGAGCAGAGCCGGGGTAATATAGGAGCGGCTACGGTGGCGGATATTTGTGCTATAAAATATTAGCAACTTGATAATTCATACCCATTCCAAATGTTGACATTATTTTAATATGTGAATAATAGATTTGTCACAATTTATGTTTCTTGAGAGTGTGACATATTTAAGTTTACATCGAAAAGTATTAAACATAGGCCCTAATTCATCAAGCCCATAATGTTTAATTCATGAGTTACGAAAACACAAACTTTAGCTATTAGTTTACTTAGAACTCGGTACTTTGAGTATGTACATTGAGCCTCGATCATAGTCCTTCCACTTCAACTATTTTATAGAAGAAAAAATGAACATAAATTTGCACAATATGGCTAACAACCCTTTTCTTCCTCATTCTGCTGATCTAACCTCCTTTTTCTATAGAGCTTTTGCCATCATTCCTTTTCCTTGTCTATCTTTCTTTCTTGTTTGCCTTCTACTATTTTCCTCCATTTTCCCTCTCTTTAATTTCTTATATTTTTCCCAAAAAATTCTTAATGTCTTTGTTAAATATTTGTAATTTATTGATTTTCTATGTATACTTTATTTTCAAGGCATATTGTAAAACAGACTCTGGTGAACAAATGATTCAACAAGCCCTGCTTCTAGTTAGATCCTCTTTTCTCGTGCTATCACTATTATATTTGTGGTTTCATTTTATATATTTGTTGTATTGTACTTATTCATTGTATTATGTTTTGCATGAGAAATAAAGTCATTTGAATTGAAAGAATGAACTTTAGCATGTTAGGCAATCATGATATCAATAACTTTCTGCATCACCTATTAAAACTTACGATTATTTCACTGACATATTGAATAATCCGAAAATGGTTTCTAAAGACAGTATCATAGGGCATTGTAACTGCCTTTGACCCAATTTCCTTAAAATCTCAACAGTCGAGTCTTTTTTAGAATAACAATAAACGGATGTAATAATGATTCCCTTTCCCCTGCAGGTGATGCCCATCACACGCCGAGCTGGATGTTTGCCCTGGCCGCCCTGCCCCGGCGGACAAAGCGACGACCATACACCAAGCTGCAGATCTTCGAACTGGAGAAGGAATTCCAGGCGCATCAGTACCTGACACGTGACCGAAGGGCCAGGCTTTCACAATCACTTAGCCTATCAGAGAGACAGGTCAGAATTAAAATAAAATTTAAAAAATTGTTTGATTCCCGATCTCAAAGACTTTCAAGAAATTAGCGTATATTGAAGCCCTAAACAAATTGCGCTTCAAAAAAAATATCTCTGAGTGACCGGTTTTACCATACTCGTTTCCCCACGAAAGACTACACTGTTATGAAAACCGTTAGGAAAACGCCAAATTTGATTTCGATTTACAATGATAAATATCTTGATAATCAGACGATCGGCTTGTAAAAGTTATGGGGGTTCCTGACTGACCTAAAGGTTTATAATTATCATTGCAGCATGAACTAAATCCAGGATTTTTTTTTTCAGAATCTGAGACAAAGTAACCCAATCCCTTTAAATACTTTCAAGAAATTAGCTCGAGACTCATTTAAAGAACCCATCGTGATGGTCAGATTACGTAGCATGCCAATGAAATGCTCAGATATTTTTTTAAAAAAAGAGAAGAAAAAGGCTATCGAACTCGCCTAAGGGTGATTTCTTGAATGTCTTTGCGATCGTAAATTTGCTGCAAATTCAAACATATCTTGAAGATCAATCTCAATTTCTATTTCACCCAGAAAAGATGGAAAAAACTGTTCATAAATTTCATTTTATACAGTAAAAGTGAAATAATTTCACAGACCAACCATAATATTAGGTCCTCTTATTGGAGCACATTAGTTTTTGTGATGATATGAAAACACAAAGTCTCTTTGTCCTGGGTGCTACGGCTTTTGCATTCTGGCATTTGTTGTGTTTTCAAATGTCAATATGAGGAATTAAATATGAGGATTAAAATATGTTATCATTGTAATAATGAAAATGAATATCTGTTTATCTATAATGTCTGTAGGTGTTGAATGATAGATGTAATTGTTTATGTAGTATCAATAGAAAATGTTTGTACTTGGATCATTCGTTGAAACTTCATAGCAATCCACCTCCTATCTTTATGTCATATTCCTTTTATTAAAAATCTATTATGAATTGGGAATTAGGGGTTGTGCGGCATAACGAAAACAAAACAAAACCAACTAACCAACTAACCAACTAACCAACCAACCAAACAAGCAAATTGCTTTTAGTGTAGTGGTACAGAAAATGATTATGTCATAATCATTTTTTTTTTTTACAAGAAGATGACAAAAGAAAAAGGAACAAGATGCAAAAAGGATAAATATATTAAGGCTTCTCTTTAGTTTTACCTCAACATTTTGACATGAGAGAGAAGTATAGAATATTTTTTTTAAAGAGAGAGAAAGCGTAACAATAGGTTGGAGTTTCGTGGCCTTGAGGTTAAGTCAATGGATTTATTCGGTATTTTGAGATATGAATCTCCATTTTAAACATGATATGCTTTTATATGAAACAAATTCAACCATAAAATGTGATTTGAATTCATTCAAACATTATAGATACATGTATACTCCAAGAAAAGAAAAAGTATGTTTGACAAAATCCCCCTATTAAGTAGTGGATTTCCCAAATGAATTTTATTAACAAAAGTACAGCAAACAACAGAAGCCATTAAAGAACTGTTCCAAAACACACGAGAAAGAATTAGACGACATTCTAGTCATAAGCAAACCGCTCAAAAGTTACATGCGGGTGTTTCTCACCTAAAATGATTAAAAGTGCAGAATATAAACAAAATGAATGGGATATGATTACGTTTCATTTTATAACATTCAAAAGGACACAGACCTGCGTTGTTTTGAAGAAGAAAAACAAAAAATTAAAAATGCTTCTCTTCTCTTCTCATAGTAAACATGTGATGGTTTTACATGCTCATACAATTTGAGTACAGTATGTAGAAATTGATATTTTGGTCTAGTAATAGTTGGTGTATTGGTGATATCGTTGTTCATTAAACCCGTACGTTTTGTAACACTGGGAGAAAAAAAAAATTAAATCATGTTCGGAACTTGGATAAACGCGCGAAAATCGCAAAAAAAAATTGTTAATGTACCACCTCTTCTTAACGTCTCATGGTGTTTATTAGTTAAAATACCTATACAAAGCTTCATATATATTGCCAAAACCCAATATAGTATGTTCATTCTATTTCTTTGGCGTCTATGTTCTTTGCTCAAAGACATTAGTCTGGTACCTTTGATCCTCACATCCCAAGTATTCAAGCCACTGATCTACGACACATTTACCGCATTTATCAAATTGATAATAATATTTGATAATCATTTTGCTCTGCCGTGATGCATGTTTTCAGGTCAAAATCTGGTTCCAGAATCGACGGATGAAGCAGAAGAAGATGAACGAACGGGAGAAGAGAACGGGCTCGAGCACTGGACCCAAATCCTCTGACAAATCTTCAGGATCCAACTGACCCCCCTCCCTCCTCCAAATCAGTTTGTCGAAGAAGAAAAAAACAACTCACGATGGGGATGTTTGCCTTCTCTATCTTGCACGGGAAAATGAAGTCGTGTTGCATTTGGTCTGCTAGTTTGGTGCTTGTTCTTTCAATCTTGAAAATAAAGTGATCAAAGTGATGTGCCACTTTTGCGCAAGCAGACACGTTGTTCAACATTAGTATTTCATTTCTATATGTGATAAAACCTCGCACGAAGTGTATTCTTAATTCTGGTTTACAGAGAGGATCCGACCTAGGCCCCGTCTTACAAAATGTTGATATCGATCGTAACTTATTTGCGATTAATATCAATCGCAACTATGTACATAAGAAATAGGAGACTGCAAACTTGCGATTGATTTGGATCAATCGTAACTCTTTATAATACGGGGCCCGGGTATTACTTTGCTTTGAAATTTTAACAGAAAATACTGCAGCTAATTCTGTAGATTTTTGAAAGATCTGGTGAATAGTAAGACAAGAATACATTACTTTTTTTAAACAAAACTCTGTCATGTTCTTATGAGATGAGCTTCAATATTTTCTCATATTTGTCGGCTGTAAATGTGATGATTCCCGAAGGAGGTACAAACATATACATGTACAGTATCAATACTCAAGAGCACGTAGCCAATAATACACATTTGCCAAAAGTAGGAGAGAACATGTGGGGTGAACTGCAGTAAATTTTTCTCAACCATTGATATGTCCCCCCCCCCCTATTTTTTCTTACTTGTATTGAAGTTATCACAATATCAGGATGGAATTCCGAATTAAAGTCTGTGGGCAGATGTTCATATCATTAAAACAAATTTTACCAAGGCATTTTCATATACGAATCGCCCCCTCCGTTCCCCAAGAATAAGGACTGTATATTTGATGTAATGATTTTTAGTTTACCACGCAATTTCGTAATGTTTTAATGAAATTTTATAGCATGTACAGTTTAACATATCAGACACAAATTTCCGATCCTTTTCTACTTTCGTTTCCAATCAGTTTTATTACATAACTTTTATAGTGAAACCTATTTGAATGTTGTATTATTGTTGTAGAAAGAATGCACAAATTGTAAATACATTTTCAGAGTTTCTTGCCAAAACGTATATATACTGATAATATTATGTTCTGTATATATTCATTGATATGTGTCATGCTATATGAGTCTGCCTTCGGTGTAAATCGTATGGAATTACGGGAAGTATATATGCTTAGACACTAAGGGGAAAACACAATCGTATTGACTTTCGAGAAATTAAATCTAGGTACATTCAATGCTCTATCCCATATAAATCATTTTGGATTACATAATACATCATGGCAATGGTCGCACATTTCCATAGGTGGTGAAAAAGGCTTGAGGTTACCTTATGTTTATTTTTCGAAAGTCTATGGGATCGTGTTGGAAATCAAATTTACACTTCTATGCGTCATTTTGATTAACCGAGGGTTTATTTCCCTTATTCATTCATTCATTCATTTTCCAATGAAACTGTTTGTACAGGAGATGCATGTTACTGAGATGTTTTCAAGCAAGTAGATCTAAGAGCAAATTAAACTGAGAAACAATGTCTAAGAAAGTGACCGATTGACCAATTTGATATTTTTTGTCCAAATTTAGTGATGATTACTGCCTTAATCATGTTGGTATATTTTTGTGGTCACATGTTGCAAATAGCTCTATCGAAGACAATCACTGTCAGTTGTATTTCAAGCACCATTTTATATTTGTAATGTCTTTGAAACTCGTTGCCATTTCTGTGAAACAGGCAATCTAAGACGTGCACAAAATGAATGTTGCTACTAATTTTGTCATCAGCTATAGATTGTGTGCTAAATTATTACTGTGCACATCGTGGTTACTTGTTGCAATAAGTATGGGCGCGGAAATTCAAAAGGCAGCACATTGTTGGTAAATTAAAATTACATACTTACAATTCAGTAAGCTTTAAGAGAGGGCGAATAGCAGGAAAATAATGTTTCAAAAACTGTTTCTATCTTTTTTTTAACGAATATTCGTGTAAACTGAAAATTCCAGTTGGCAATTATTCGGGCCTTATCTCGTCCCTAGAAAAATACTAAAACAAGTCAAACAAAGAAAGAAAACGATGTTTATGAATTAAGAGGGTTCGAAATGTTACTATAATCACTTTACTTTGAATTACAAAAAATAAGAATTGTATTTTGATTACACCTTTAGAATGTTGTGTGAAATAGTCTTTTATTTTAATTAATCTTGTACCACAATATCAGCCAAATTCATGTTTGTGAAGTACATTTGTAACCCTCTTTCATGCCCATATCTGGTGAAAAATAATTTGTCACATTTCTAAAATGAAAACCATTGAGGTTCTGCTTCTCTTCCATTTAGCAAATCAATCTGATTGGCATTTTATCAGTGTAAAATCAAATTTCTACTAAATTTGAATTTACATGCTGTTGTAAAAATGGTTCTTGTAATATGCTAATTTGAAGTGAATGCAGATCCAAGTTGAGTGGTGGCCAATAACTGCGTTTTATATCAATTAATTGATTCCTATTTTACTTCCATTAACGAACATATACATAAATTATTTCTTATCTTGTATTCGTAAATTTTTAGATAATAGATATTTGTTCATGTTGGATAGTTTCAGAGTTCGATGAAAATTGTAAAAGGACAATTTAATGGGTTCATTTGTATGAAAGCAGAAAAATAAGAAAAAATGAATGGCGGAAGTTCGAAATAAATTTGACCGATAATAGGAGAGTTATGAATGCTTGAAATATGAGATCACAATGGTTATGCAGATCTTAAATTGGCAATTTTGTCAGTGGATTCTCCAGTTTGTCGTGTAAAAAAACAACAACTGTATATTCTGGTTTTCTCCAAAGGGCCTTCTCCCTTGGGGCACTACTCAAAAAAATTATGGATGGTATGTTACTATAGGTCCTCTGAAAAGAAAAGAACCTTCCGAGTCATACATTTTGAAGAGGCAAAACAAATACGATTTTAGTCATTTTGTATATTGTAACAAAATGTAAAGTTGCCTGGCACTACATCACATTACCGATTCAGCCAATTTAAGTGTCCATATTCTTATGGATTACAACTTTCAAATATTCATAACTTTTTTCTTCCGATTTTGATTAAATTTCCACCAGTCTGCTTCTTTGATATTTTTCTTTTCTTTTAATATACTGGTCTCTTAAAGATGGATTTTCCTTTAACTAATCGTTTCAGAATCTATCGCCGCAGAGATTTTCACTTGACAGAATAGAAAATAGTTATTAAACTTGATTTCCTTTTTTTTTTTTAATATACAGTTTTATCCCAGCTGCTCGTGAGTATAAAGAGAACTAATCGACCTAAAACGTCCCCTCAAAAGATATTTTAAAGTATGACAGTATTGCAATTGTACTTTACTCTAGATTTGAGTATGATTTTTTTTTCCATTAGGAAAATGTTATTATGTCGAATAGCTTCTGTTATGCGAGAATAGAAAATCAGGGAAAAAATCAAGAAAACGAGAAAACATATAATTATACAAAAGTTATAACTTAGAAGTAAGAAGTTAAAAAGTTAAAAAATTACGTGAGTTCGATGCACTGCCTAGTGGTAACGTCCCAATATCGCTTATATAAAAGTATACTGCTTTTCTACAATGTATGTATTCTTTTGAAGATGTTGAATCTTGCATGGATTCAATTATGCCATTTTTCATGGAAACAATATGCACTGGTAAACTTCGTGTATAAATTATGAGGCTTGTACAAAATAGAGTGCTATTAAAAATGTTATATCCCTCTGTCGTTGCAATTTGAATAGTGCTCCTAGGCCAGTATGAGAGATTGACTTCATCAGTTAATGGGCATGCATCCATTATTTATCTGATGCGTCTATGTTTTATTTGCAAACACGATTCTTAAAAGGGAAAGAAAATCACATTAGGAGAGAAAACGTGATCGAAAAGAAATCTTTATTGTCTGGCCGGACTAATAATCTAGAAAATTATTTTGTTAAAAGAGAAAGAAAAAAAAAATGTGCTTGTCTCACTGAAAAAAGAAAGATAATTCAACAAATTTTGTCCCTATATTAAAATTAGTAGATTTCCGATTCGGAGAACAACGCCTCCACCCCCACCCTTTTGCAAGATCTCAAGAGTTTGCCAACCTCCAGATTTTGTGGTGAAAAGGGCCGCAACTTCTTTTTTCGTTGAATTGTCTATTTTTATAATTCGTAACAACTAACGCAAACTATACAAACAAATTATTGTTAATGATTTAACAACGAAAGGTAGCTAAATCTTAACTTCATTAGATGCCCCAGACTTGAAATACAACAGTCCATTGACAGCGCGTTACTTTCCATGCACTGTATTTCTCATGGGGGTGGGGGTGGGGGGGGGGGGGGTTGTCACGTTGCCCGATCTTTTAGCATGTTTTGAGTATAATAGTAAATGTGCAGATGTTATAAGCGTTACCATTATTGATTGTTATTACGATTATCATGATGATCACGATCGTTTATTGTTTATGATTATCATCACTATCACCACCATAAATGTCGATATTTTTCTTGTGATTGGCCTACACATCAAATTATCACAGAGTTTTTTATTATGAGCTGACTTTAAATGGCATGGACAACCAACATATCAATTGCTAATTAGCTCAATAAACGCATGCACATATACATGGAGAGAGTTTCAGCACAATTGTTATATGCTCGTTATATTGACAATTAAAAGAGATATGAAGAAAAAACAAGAATTGTAAAAAATGTCATGTAATTTTGTTGTATGAATGTGATAAACTAAGAAGAATAAACGAATAAACAAGGTAACGATACATTTATCATATCAACAAGCAGAACAAAGAGAAAGGTGACGAGACGGAGAAAAATAGAAGAATCCACGGATTTTTTTTTTTCAAACATTTTTCTCTGAAAGATCAAAAATAGGATGGGAAAGGGACAAAAAAAATAACGAGATGATTAAGAAGAAGAATAGGAAGAAAAAGGGATGGAAGATAGAAAGAGCGAGAGAGAAAGAGAGATAGATAGAGAGAGAGGTAGAGAGGTAGAGAGAGAGAGAGAGAGAAAGAGAGAGAGAGAGAGAGGGGAGAGTGAGAGAGAGAGAGAGGGGGATAAATATAGAAAGAGAGAAAGAGATAGAAAGAGAAAGAGAGAGAGAGATAGAAAGAGAAAGATAGAGAGAAAGAGTGAGAGGGAGAGAGAGGATAGCACAAGAGTATATATAAAAAGAAGAGAGATATGAAAAGAGGGAGGGACACACACAC